CACACACACACACACACCGCGTAAACATGCACCAACACATAGTGGTCTAGAATCGGCCTATACGCTTAGTCCGCGACCTATGCGGTAGGTGTTTTTATTTAATTTATAGGATAAACAAAGACACCTATTGTATAGGGCACGGTCTAAATGCATGGTGTAAATGTAGCTTGTATATACTACTTTGGTCACTGCATTGGACTATACTAAAATTTCTTTCTCGTTTTCGTCAAACTTGATATCTATTTTGTTTTAAGTACAACGAGAGTATGTATTAGTTTTGTGATAAAAAAAACAGTCTTATCATAAAAATTAATTCTTTTGCGAGCGTCAGCAAAAATCAAAATAACTATATTTTCTTTTAATGAACTCGTATTTCATTTCAAACATAATCTTTATATAGAATGTTGGTGGATTCAACGCCCGCAGTCTTTATATGCCTGCTAATGTTTTTCATCCCAAAAGAGCCGATTTTTTTACACTTTCTCAGCAACGACCGTAAGAGCTTTTAACAATTACCAAGCCAAGTACGAACCTGAAACACGAATAAGCAGCAAGTTACTGACTTTGTTCTAAAAAATAAGCGAGGAATGGCTTGCTACTTGATTCGTCTTTCTGTTTTATATATCTTATGTTAGTGCTCATGAAACTTTATATGATCACAGCGTCCAGACGATTGACCAGATCGTCCGAGGGTCTGATTACTTGGGAAATCATTCAGACAAAGATGCCGTGGAGATTAGTATTTTTGTTAGGCAGTGGTTTTGCTGTATCAAAAGGCAGCAGTGTCTCAGGACTTGCTATGAAGATAGGACTAGCTTTGGTGCCTTTGAAAGAATTACCTCCTGTGCTGATGATGGCCGTTGTTCTTTTATTCGTTAGTACACTGACGGAATTTACTTCAAACGTTGGTACAGCTAATATAGTTCTGCCTGTCGTCGCTCACATGGTAAGAATTTGTCCAATGATAAGATATATTATAACTATAAATTGTTTATCAACTTTAGGAGAGCTTACTTTGTAAATTTAAAAAAAAATGTAGCAATAATATCTTTATCTTCAAATATGTTTACTTTTCGTTCATTTTTATAATTTACAAATTTTGTACGTTTCTTTTACCTTTTTACAGAATTTTATGCTCCCCGTTCAATGATCGATAGAATAATTTTTAAGAAACGTGACTTATAATTATTTTTATATTTTATTTTTGTTGTAAGTATTTCTTCGTCAAAATTGTGATTATTATTCATTTTTGTTTGTTTCTTAAAGTGTGTGGCGATGAAGATACATCCATTATATCTGATGATGCCAGTGACTCTAATGTGCTCGTACGCATTCAGAATGCCAGTCGCTACGCCGCCAAATGCAATTATAACTGTCGCGGGTCATTTACAAACTCAAATACTAATAGCAGTCGGATGTTTCCCCGCAATGTACAGTTTAATAGTGCAAGTTATTCTATTCCCTACTTGGGGAACTTTTATTTATGGCATCAGTGAGTTTCCAGCTTGGGCAGAACAACATGATATTGCCCGGAAATCATAATCTGATCATGTTGCTAATATCTTTACTTTATTATTCATGTCAGTAAATAATTATGAAATATATATTCTTTCTAATTATCTTAAATATTATACGAATAAGATTAATTATATATTTATATATTTAAAAATAAAATACTGAAAATAATTGTTATTTAGCTATTATTTAAACTTGATTTACTTATTTTATTTTATTGTCAGTAACATAATAGAGCCGATTCTTTTCTGTAGCTCCAAGGGGGACAGAGAGTCGGAATCTTATGTTATGCTTATGCTTTGTTATGCATTTCATGTGTGACAGACTATTCTAATGGCTTATTGTAGAATACGTGTAATGCGAGGTCTACAATAGAAGTCATAGCAGTCGTAGGGTCTTAAGTCATAGAAAACCAATCACAGTTGATTATTCTTCTCATATTTGATTGTGATTGGTCAATTTTCTACGACTTAAGACCCTATGACTGCTACGACTTCTATTGTAGACCCCGCATAACTGCTTACGTGTTACGACCTTACGTTTTTGCATGCGCCATGGGCTTTACCGAACGCGGTTACGTCGTGCGCAGTCGACACAAGTCGACACGAGTCGACATCCGGAGTAAAACGTAAGCAGTAAGCGAATTGACCAATCACAGTAGAGTCCATAAGGCCATAACATAAGCAGTAGCGAATCCAACATGTTGATTTCCTTACTGTTTACGTCTTACTGCCTTAAGTTTTTTGTGTGCCAGGGCCCTAAGATTGGATTCGCTACTGGCCTTACGGTCTCTATCATGATTGGCCAATTCGCTTACTGATTATGTCTTACGGCCTTACGTTTTTGTATGTGCCATAGGCTTAAAGCGGGGAGCACAGACTTTTGCATAACGCATAATACGTAATGCATAAGAAAATGTACCAATCAAAATCCTTCGTTTCCTTCCTTTCCATGAAATAAAGAATTCTGAATGCACCCATTGGTTGAATTTTTTATGCTTAAGGCCCTGTGCATAATAGAGGAAATATTAGGAACAGGAATAGATATTAAGATTTTAACCTATCAGATACCAGTTACACCGGAATACACGGTTTCTGATAGGTTGAAATCTTAATATCTATTCCTATTCCTGTTTCCTCCATTGTGCGCAGAGCCTTATATGTTATGCGTTATGCAAGAGTCTGTGCTGCGGCCATTAAGCGGGAAGCACAGACTCTTGCATAATGCATAAAGTCTGATGCTTTCGTTCATACTAATACGGTAAGTTAGTATGAACGAAAGCATTGAAATCCTATGGTTGAACTTTACCGGCACCGGCATAAGTTAACGGTTACGACCATTATAAATCAGGCTTAACGCATAAAGAGAATCAACCAATCTGAATCCTTCCTTTTCTTCCACTTCACGGAAAAGAAGAACTTTGATTGTTGAAAAGAAGGTTGATGCCTTTGTGCATTATGCGTTATGCAAAAGTTTGTCGCGGTCTCTAGAAATAGGAATAATGCCTAGTGCAGACTGAACGCAGCAAGCGTCAAGCAGCGGAGCAGCAACCAATCAAAACGCGACAATGCTAGAAGTCACTAGAATCTAGTTATGGCCGTAGCACAGACTCTTGCATAACGCATAATGTATAGTGCATAAGGGAATCAACCAATCGAAATTCTTCTTTTCCATGGAATGGGAGGAAAGGAAAGATTCTGATTAGTTGATTCGCTTATGCACTATGCGTTATGCGTTATGCAAGAGTCTGTGCTGCGGCCTTTATTTCTGAAGTAACGTGTGACGCGCCCATGAAATTGCACCGTTTATTGACTATCGCGTCACATTTTGCCGCGCGGCAAGCGTTTCTGCGTCCAGTGTGCAGGAGCCCTAAGATTTCAATCTACATATCAGTTACACCGGAATACACGGTTTCTGATAGGTTGAAATCTTGATATTTATTCCTATTCCTAATATTTCCTCCATTGTGCGCAGGGCCTTAAGGCTCCTCTGCTTATTACCGAAGAAGACGTTCGATGATATCAGAGTGTATCGTGGCAAATATTTCGTCATAATTGGTGCGCGATGAGACTCGTAGGATGGTTATTCTGCTCGTTCCTCGTGTTCGCCGGCTCGGATGCCGGCGGCCCGATTCTAGTCCTGCTTGACAATCTCGCTATTAAGGAGACTCATTCAATATTCTTCAAGATGTTACAAGGTATTCGCACGGTGTCTATTTTTCTAATCGTTTTTGACGTTCGAATCGTTGGCAGCTGTCTTTAGCAATAATAGAGTTTTTGCAATACTGTTTATCCAGATACGATGAACGCTAAGATCAGATTATCTCCTTAACAATTAATTAAAAAAAAGGATAACATGACTTTAGCGTTCATCATATTTGGATTCACATTATTGCAAAAACTCCCTAAAATGTTTCTCACGCATTACACGTTATCGTGGACGTTAAATGTACATGTGTGCAGAATATCAACTACGTCTGAGGGTATAGAGAATAATAATTATTAAGTGTTTCGATCTGTTACATTGTTTTCCACTTATACTCTGAGACCATGCCAAAATTTCAATTATTTATCCGTTTTTAATCTTCTTGAGAAACGTACATTATTTATCACATAAGATGAATATATTATTTTATTTTAAAATTAATTTTATCGAGAGTAAAAATTGTTACATATATTTTCGGTCATTGTTTAGAATACCTCTCCCCATCTAAAAATCTCAATAAAAATATATTCATTCGCATTTTCACTCAAGCCGAAAGAATCTGGCAGAAAAACGTGGCGACCTCGTGATTCGTGAAGCGAGTTATCAAGCGTTAAAGTTCGAGACTTTAGAGGTTAAGATATCTGTCATCCCGATTCGCGATACAGTGCTATGTACACGTTCTGCATTAAATAATTACACAAATTCTCTGCTTCACAAACAAAAATTCACTGCTTTACAAACAAAAATTTACTGCTTTAAAAACACAAATTCACTGCTTTACAAACACAAATTCATTGTTGATGCCATGAATTTGTGTTTGTAAAGCAGTGAATTTGTGTTTTTAAAGCAATGAATTTGTATTTTTAAAGCAGTGAATTAGTGTAATTAAAGCAAGAACGTATACATAGCGTTGTATCGAGTCGGGATAACAGATATCTTAACCTCTAAAGTCTCGAACTTTAAGGCTTGATAACTCGATTCACGAGGCCGAACGCCACGCTTTTCTGCCGGATTCTTTCGTTTTGAGTGAAAACACATCGAATGAATATCTTTTTATTAAGATTTTAGGTGAGGTATTCTAAATCCATGTAATAATCTAATGTATTTAACATTATTTAATATATTAATTTACTTATTTACTTAATGTCTTTTATATATATAATTTTTAATGACACTTATTAAGAAGTAATTGAATAAATTTGATAGAATTAATGTAATATTAATCCAGCAGCATACAATGCATGATTTTTTTTACTGGATTGTTTGTATTCTAAATTAATAAATTATTAGAATTACACTACACAGGGACGCATTCAGATTCCCACCTAAATGTTCTCCAAATAAACAAGGATAAAATGATATTTGGATAGCATTTGAGTGAGAACAGTCCAGAATGCATAATTTCTAATAATTTAATAAAATGTAAGCAATTAAGCAGGAAAATATGAATTATAATGTTATTGGCTTTAAATAATAGATATGTTCTAATATAATTATAATAAGTTTGACAATTGGGAATTAGCGCTGTACTATGTGCACAATAAATTTTCAATATCATTAAATTGTATCTCTCATATTTAATTAAAAATTAGTTTACATGTTTCGGTTAACTTTTTAGCCATTTTTAGTACATACAGATGATTCTGTAGTGAGTAATAAGATGTGTTAGACGATAGTATTTACATGTTTAATGTTTCACCATTTAATATCTGAAATATTTCTCTGTAAGGTGATCAATCAACTATTTATTGGAAAGAAGACGCAACTAGTTTGTTAGCTGGATTGCGTCTTCTTTTCAATAAATGTTGATTGATCACCTTACAGAGAAATATATCAGATATTAAATGGTGAAACATTAAACATGTGAATACCATTGTCTAACACATCTTATTACTCATCATGAAATCATCTGTATGTACTAAAGATGGCTAAAAAGTTAGCCGAAACATGTATACTAATTTTTAATTAAATACGAGAGATACAATTTAATGACATTGAAAATTTATCGCGCACATAGTACAGCACTAATTCCCAATTTGCCAAACTTATTATAATTACATTTTTTGTGTCGGGGAATTTATATTATTTGTTTAATGTTTTAAAATTGTTACAGATAGTGGTTATACATTAACTTTCAAATCAGCTGACGATGCAACTTTGCAACTTTCCAAATATGGCGAATATTTATATGAACATCTGATAATATTTGCACCTACGGTTGAAGAGTTTGGTGGTGCTTTGAGTGTAGACGCCATAACGGAGTTTATAGACAATGGTGGAAATGTACTGCTTGCTGGCTCCTCACATTCTGGCGATGCTGTACATGAGTTAGCTTCGGAATGTGGCTTAGAGGTAGATGAGGAAGGCTCCACTGTAATCGATCATATGAACTATGATGCTTCTGACAGTGGTCAACACACTACTATAGTAGCAGATCCAGCGAATCTAATAGATGCTCCAATTATTGTCGGAAGCAAAAACATTCCCCCATTGCTATATCAAGGAACCGGACTAATCGCGGACACAGATAATCCTTTAATTTTACGTTTATTATCAGCATCTACTTCAGCATATACCTATTATCCAGATCAACCAATCAAAGAGTATCCACATGGTGTTGGCAAAAATACTTTGTTAATAGCGGCTCTACAGGCAAGAAATAATGCCCGAGTTCTATTCTCGGGTTCCCTGTTTTTCTTCAGTGACGAAGCATTTACAAGTCCTATTCAAAAGGGACAAGGTAAAAATATATCAAGTTCTATAGCAACAAAAAGAAGATATTTTTATTTATCTCTTGAAATTTCGTAATAATCGCTATCTCTTCAATTAAATTTTTTACTCGATTATTAAAAATATCTATATGAGACTTAAAAAAGATCAATTGCTTGCAGATGGTCAAAGATACGAGAAATCTGGCAATCAAGTGGTAGCCAAGGCCATAACACAATGGGTGTTCAAGGAGAACGGTGTCATACGGGTGTCGTCCGTTCACCATCATCGAGCCGGTGAAACGCAGCCGCCAACTGCGTATACGATCATGGACAACGTGGTGTATTCCATCGAAGTCGAACGACTATCAGATGGCAAGTGGGTGCCTTACGAGACAAACGATCTGCAGCTGGAATTTGTACGAATCGACCCGTTCGTGCGTATGACAATGAAATCAGTAGGAAATGGTCGCTACGAGGGCAGATTTAAGATCCCTGATGTGTATGGGGTATACCAATTCAAGGTTGACTATACGCGCATCGGATTGACCCATCTTTACAGTACGACGCAAGTTTCTGTGCGTCCACTGCAACACACACAATATGAACGCTTTATACCGAGCGCATTTCCATACTACATAAGTGCATTCTCCATGATGGCTGGTGTGTTTTTGTTCTCTCTCGTGCTGCTGCACTACAAAGAAGATATGAAACCCAAGTCCGAATAACGTCTTGATGCTCCCGGACATTATCTATCAATGTTCGATGGGATATCTTTTTTTAAAGATTGCAATATCACTTTGTTTTTTTTTCTGGTAAGCGATGCTAGGAGAATTTATAAAAGAAAAAGGTTCAATTTTTAACATCATTTATTTAATATCTTTCTCCACCTTTATGCACGCAATTTTCAATATTAATACTATTTATTGAGGCAGCATTTTATAGATAATGCAATGTCGTAAAAATCGCGTTCCTATACGTACATGTTAAAATTTTATAATGTTTCTCTAAAAGAAAAACTAAAAATATTAGCAGTTTATATTTGTTCCCGTAGTTCAAGAAATAGAGCACTGTATATAAATGATTGCAGTAGATTATATGCAAGATTGTACCAAGAAATCACTATAATAATCGGGAAAAATAAACGCTAAAAATTATTTGCCGTTATTTAATATCGTTATTTAATACTCTAACAATAAAGTTTTTAGTTGTGATTTGCAATTATATTTAATGCAATTATATTTTTAATATATTTTGAAATTATTCTAACTCTGTATATAATTGAATGTTATTAATTGTCTACAGTGATATCATTCAATTTCTTAAAATTCAATATTTTCCACAATTTGTTTTACCAGAGAGAAATCTGAGAGCACAGCCATATCAGTATGTTTATTCTGTAACTTTTAACGATAGTTCGGTATCGTTATATTGTCGCCTGTAAGAAGTTAGCCACCCACTTTTGGAATTAACTTATTTTGAAAATTGTGCTAGGTTTGTGCTACAGTGTGCTCGAATATTAAAGTCAAAATATGAAAACCACGTTAGATAATTAAAAAAACGATTTTTTAGCCTCCCACTTTGCGATTTTTTCAATTTTTTTGATTGTGCTAAGTTCTGCTAAGTTGTGCTAATATTATGCCAAAGTGGTATCTTTAAATAATGATAACAGAAGTTATGATAAAAAAATTATTTTTAACAATTTGGAATAAAAATGACGCTTATTGTAGCCGAATACGCGCGTTTGCCCGGCCTACTACTGCCGAAAGGACGGCTCGCGCGCCATGCAAATCTGGTGGGCAGTAAGTTTTTTCGGCAGGCCGGGCGGACGCGCGTATTTAGCTATTTTTAAACATTAGGTACAGCCAGAAGCACAGCCGCTCTTTGAGCACTCAGTGAGCTCTTGTACCTTTTCAATGGATGCATTCAGTGGATGCATCCAGAAGCGCAGAGCGCTCAGTGAGCTCTTGTATCTGTTTGGTCTATATTTTTAGATCTAATGGAATATGCCAATCAGATGCAAGAGCTCACTGAGCGCTCAGTGAGCAGTCGTGCTTCTTGATGCACCCAATGGGTTCAGTGCGCTCTGCGCTTCTGTAGTGGGATTCTCTAAACATCTTATCGATGATTGTCGCTATCGTTAACTAGCGACAGCCAATGGCGGTACAATCCTGGGAGAAAGAGCAGTTTTCATTGGCTAGTTAACGATAGCGACAATTGTCGATAAAACATTTAGAGAATCTCGCAACTGGATGCACCCACTGAATGCACCCATTGAAGAGCAAGAAACTAACATATATATAACAGATACATAATAAAATTATATATTATATAGTTATGTAATTATACAATTACATAATATAAACATTATATATAAATTATACACACAATATATATCATACAATTATATAGTTATACAGTATATAATAATTTTGTATGGAAAATTTAAGGGAGCTATAACTATATGTGTGTGTGATATATAATTTTATTACATATCTATGAAGCATATTCGGAAAGTAAGATTACAACGTGTTTAGCTCAGAGGGAAATTTTTCATTTTAAAGTTGGCACACTTGCTTGGAGGGGAGGTCCCAGTGAAGAGAACAAGCGGTGAAGGAGGTCAGTAGCCTTGATTGGTTGCGTCAAAATCGTAATATGAATCCGGCAATTCCCGATCCCGCCAAGTGTGAAGTGATTTCTACTAAATTATTGCGATTTCATTGTCGGTGTGTTTCCGTTGCCGCCGTTGCCGGTATACGACGCGTTAGTATTTGCTCGAGAACGTATTCTCGAGTAAATAAGTATTACAATGCCGAGCACTTGCTGTGTGAAAAATTGCCAAAATAATAATAAAAAAGGGTTTCATTTGTTCAGTTAAGTTAGATATATATTTGATAAACGTAACACTTTCATATTATTTGAAGGTTATGTCTAAACTGCAAAGAATAAACATTTCAGATTTCCTCTGAGTTGTTTCTGTATTTTAAGCATTTATTGGTACATTAATAAAATAATACATAAGCGTTTATTTATAGATACATTAAGCCTCTGTTTTCTCGCTTTTTGAATGCTCTCTTCTTTCAGATCAAAAATTTTCATTCCATCCTCGATATAATTACTTTCTCCTGCAATGTTTTAATTCAAATTGAACATACATTTTTTTTATATATCTATATTCTTTTATATATATCTTTGAGAAAATTTTTAAATAGATCTTTGCTGCTTGCCTGCTTGCCTAGCACACTAACCTAAGATTGCTTAGATTGGCCGCTACAGCTGTACCTGACAAACAGACGGCCATTTTGTTGCGGTCAAACATGGTTGAAACCGGATATTCTGCCGCACACACTTTCTGACACTTAAGCCAATGGCACATACAAAAACGTAAGGCCGTAAGACATAATCAGTAAGCGAATTGGCCAATCACGATAGAGACCGTAAGGCCAGTAGCGAATCCAATCTTACGATTTCTTTACTGCTTACGTATTACGGCCTTACGTTTTTGTATGTGCCATGGGCTTTAAATCACACGAGGTTAGCAATCTAGTATTAGTATAGTGTGAATATTAAGCCGGAAACACAATGAAAAGCACAGATAATAGGAATAAGATATTTCAACTTATCAGAAAGCGTCCATTCTAGTATACATGTTTCTGGTAGGTTTAAATTAGAGTCTTAAGAGGCTTGTTCGTGTCGCATACTCCAACATGTTCCAATATGCTCTTTTTCCATAGCTCTTACTCACTCCAATGCGCTTAATAAAGTAAGTAGAAGTTATGGTAGAAGCATGTTGGAGCATGTTGGATCTTGCGACGTAAACAAACCTATAGTTTGTAAGCGTCGTATGCTCCAACATGTTCCAATATACTCCTGCTAAGTTCTTACTCACTCCAATGCGGTTGATAGAGTGAATAGGAGCTATGGTAGAAGCATGTTGGAGCATGTTGGATCTTACGACGCGAACAAACTTTTATATATGAGAGAAGCGACGTTCATCCCCACTACCACCTCTAGCATATATTTAGCCCGCTTCAGTTGATCAGTTCCATTAAACTTCATAATGAAGTTGTAAACACACACTTTGTCAAGATGAGGTTAAGTAGTTTAACAATTAAAGAACGAAAAGAGAAAAACAATATAAATCAAATTATACCTTTATTCTATTTTAAATATGTATATATCTAACTCATATGGACCTTGTTCAGCTGTAGAAGGAGACATATGTGATGTAACTTTCCACTGCGGGCAATTAAGTGGAGGTATCACCAATCAGAAATCGCGACGCCGATGTCGGTTCTCTCATATATAGGACTCTAGTTTAAATTGGTTGAAATTTGTCATTTTCTGTTCCTATTGCCTATACTTTTTATTGTGTTTCCCGCTTAAGGGCGCGTTCACACCTTGACGGAAAAGCAGAAAGCGGAAAAGCAGTGGCCAATCACAACTCGCGCTGGTAGTAAGTAGTACAAAAAGCCGAAATTGTCGACTACCAGCGCGAATTCTGATTGGCTACTGCTTTTCCGCTTTCTGCTTTTCCGTCAAGGTGTGAACGCGCCCTTAAAGTATGGCTGATAACTCTAACTAGAGACCCTAGGTTTGTTCGCATTGCAAATTTCAACATGCTCCTATCATAGCTCCTACTCACTCTATCAAACGCGTTGGAGCGAGTAAGAATTATAGTAAGAGCATATTTAGAACATGTTGGAGCATGCGATGCGAACAAACCTCCTTTAGGGCCGATTGTTCCAACTTCTTGGTAAAGTTTAAAGCCTGTTGGTAAAGCCTGTTAGCTAAGTAGCAAGATTATCCAATCACGTGCGTGGATTGCCAGATTTACCTAACAGGTAAACTTTACCAAAAGATGGAACAATCGACCCCTAATGAAAGTCGCGACACAAGAAAAAGAGACTCTAGTTAGAGGGTGCGTTCAGCAGAACGTTTGTTTTGCAACTGTTGGAAGTTTCCTTCGCGCTAATTGGATCATACTTTTAGATCTAGAAGAATGGTCCTATCTCAGCAGACAATCATAAAACGGTTGCAAAACTGTTGAGTTTGCTGAACGCAGCCAGAGACTCTCTTCACGGTATCTTTTCCTTAAGGGTATCTAGTTTCAGCAAAATCACACGAAAGAGAGAGGAATAAATTGTGTCTCTTTCTAACCTTGATATTTTCTCGTGAGTCGTGATACATCTTTCTGCTCTTAGAAGATTAGTACGACTTATTAGAAGATTAATAAAAATAATTGCAAAATGGTTGGATGTACAGCCCCATTTTGCACTAATTCTGTAGCGAAAAGTTACATAATGAAAATATTTCCACGTGACACTAAATGTTGAACATTAGGGCAACAAATTTTGGAAAGAATTGGACACCAACGAAAAATGCATATCTCCGATAAAAATGCATAACTTTGATTAAAAAAAAAAAGATTAAACATAATTTTTTTAGTAAGCATTACTTCCACATATAATGTGAGAAATCTATCTAGTAATAACTTTAAAGTGTTTAATCTTGTTTTGTTTGATTTTAACAATAATACAAATGTATATACTTCGAATGGCCGATATCCGTATCGAACGCTAAAAATCGATTATGGCTGTGGTCCACTTAACGCTACAAACGCTTCGAAGCATTCTTTGATTAGTCAATTCGTAAAATTCTTTGTTCTGATTGGTCGCTCAAA